TGTCCCATCTGATCCGAACGCGGTATAAGAAGCTCCTGACTCCTCCTCAACTCTCAGCATCGGTGAAGGCGAGCGGCAGAGGTGTGTTTGTGTGTGTGTGTGTGTGGAGTTATGGCTCTGTTCATGGACTCAGACTTCTCTTTACTCAAGCAGAACCAGCAGAAAGACCTGGCAGATTTCAAGGCATTATTCGGAGAACAGGAACACTCAAAAGGTGAGTCACAGAGAGGAAAAAAGACTTTTGACTTTCTGACCGGCTGCTTCATAGAATCAGCTTTTCCCAACAAAACTCAATGAATGGTTGAATTATATTGTATATTACAATAAAATAGTCTAATAGGATAAAAGTAAACAAAAAGATGGCTGAGAAAATAAATATGAAAGTTATTATTATAAAAATTTTTATTCTTAACAGATACACATATTCCTAGGTTCAAGGCTATAATAAAATGTATTCTATAAAAGTAAATAATTTCTAAATTCCAAAAAAAAATTTTTTGTTCTTTAATTTCTTATTAATAAATAAGTGTAATAATAATTATTATTATAATATAATAATAATAACAATAGTTATTATTACAATCCACGGTCAAACACAAAAGAACCTAAATGTTGACAAGTTTATGGGTTGTGATATTTTCCATTACCACAACAAGATTTCCCTTTCTGAAAGGCTGTTTATTTATTTATTATAGACCATTATTTTTTCAACTGTTTGACATTTCTCTTGATATTTGCATTGTAATTGGAAGATGCCCGCAGTGGGAGTGCCGTATCCTCTCCGGAGCCGGACAGAGGCATCGGTTTGATGGAGGGTCAGAGGAAAAGGAAGAGGACCATCTTCAGCCGTGCGCAGCTGTCTGAGCTGGAGCAGGCCTTCGCTGTGACCCCCTACCCGGACATCACCCTGCGGGAAAGGCTGGCCGCGCACACACACCTGCCTGAGAGCAAGATACAGGTGAGGCTGCTGGTCGGATGTTCAGTCTGAAACTCCAAGTTTCAGACTGAAGCCTATCTAAGCCTATCTAGCCTATTTAAAGTGGCTGTAATGAAACAATTTACTTATTTTAATTTAATTTTCACTATCTTGACTGATTTGTTGTTGGTCACGATGAACCCACAGAGAATAGGTCTCCTTTAGACCATGGAGACAATAATTGGGACCACTACAGCAAAAAAAAATATCTTCAGTACATATTTTGTAGCTATTCTTTATAAATGATACTGTTCTTCTTTTTCTCAATTAAAGATCAAAATCATTAAAGAACTTAAAATAATAACAAATGAGCCCATATGACTATATATAGACTATATATATGACTCATATAAGGATAGTCATACCTGAAGTTAAGTCTGTTTTAGACAGGCAGAGGATGATGTGATACCTGTTTTCTCTTTCTTTTATATTTACCAAGCATCTATCTGCCTTCTTTCCTTCTAAATAATTCTGTCCATGTTCTGTGTTCCTTTATGAAGTAAATGTTTATGTGTGATAAACGTCTTTGTCACACATGAAAACTCCAATCAAAGTCAGGAGACAGCTTAACCATGTCACATGTTAGCAAAGTCTCAATGTTACCGCAGCATAGGACCGGAGCTAACATGTCAAACAGCATTATAAAGTTTCCTCTACTCTTTACTGTTAATACTGTTAAATACTTCAGCATTATTAGTTGCAATATCTGGCAGAGCTTGTATGCAGAGTCACAAAAGAGGGTAAAAGTGTGGAGAGGATGTAAAGAAATTAGGAACTAATCCCAAGTTGTTCTAATGCTTTATTGGATTATGAACATTAGAAAGAAAGCATTTAGGTGCACAAAAAGTGTTTGTGTGAATGGCTGAATGTGGCATGTTGTTTAAGATGCTTTGAGTGCTCAAGTAGAGTAAAAAAGCTTTATATAAGAATCAGTCCATTTACCAAGACAAGAAAATTACAACCCAAAAAATCTACCCAGTATTTGTTTTGATGAACATGGTACCCTGAGCAGAATTTGGATGCATAAACTGAAGTTGGCTATGTAAGACTAATTCATTATAAATATTGCCATTTCCCACAGGTGTGGTTCCAAAACAGAAGAGCTAGAAGTATTAAGACCGGTAGACTCTCCAAGTCCACCAAGTCTGTCCTTGGAGTTAGAGGTTTTGTGGATCCCTCCTCCGGCCCTGCGACTTCCGCGTATTCAAACACTCTGGCAGACATGTTCAGGCCAGAGCAGAACCACTCCTGTGAGGAGGTCCCGCAGATTTACTCAGATTGGATGCAAATCTACAGTAACCCCATGTCATCGCCACCATGTTCCTCATCCCTCCATCAGCAGTCCACTCGTAGCTGCTCCAAACCCTCAGAGCCTCGTCTCTGGGAAGAGGAGTACCACGGGCAGCAGCAACAGCACTTAGGAGCCTCACTCACTGGTTTCATTCCTGGTTCGTTTCATCAGTCCATCACCAGGCAGCCTCACCATGCTGCATCTACATGCTCCTATCAGGCCTTCAGGAACTTCAAGTCCCGGAGCTTGGCTCCATCTGGACCTCATCAGGCACTGTGCAGCGGAGGTACTGGAACTGGAGGTCATGCCTCAGTAGATCAGGTTGTCCCTTCCCACCCTCAACCAATGTACTGGGAAATCTCTCAAGGTCAGGGACAGCACCACCACCACCACC